GTTACTGCACAGTCGGGGGCGGCAAGTGAATGAATGTACGTAGCCCGAAATATCGAAGGCGTCGAGTCAACGTTCAACTTGAATAAAAAAAACCCAAGTCGACTTGTACTTGAGTTCTGCGCACCATCTGCGTCCACGTGCTCCACCCTCTTCACGCTCCCCATCTCCTCCTAGCCAACCAACCAACCAACCAACCAACCACTGGTGCGTTCTTCCCCTCTCTTTCTCTTTCCTCCTATCGCTCACCGTATCTCACACCCCACCCTCCAGTCAACCACACCATGTCCGAGAAACTCGACGCGCCCACCTCCTCCTCAACTGACACCTCCGGCATCGGCGCCGCCAACGGCCCCAAAGCCACGATCAAGAACGTGGACATGACCGAGGAGATGCAGCAAGAGTCCGTCGATATCGCCTCCGCCGCGCTCGAAAAGTACAACATCGAGAAGGACATCGCCGCCCAGATCAAGAAGGAGTTCGACAGACGCCATGGCCCGACCTGGCACGTCGTCGTCGGCAAGAACTTTGGGAGCTATGTCACCCATGGTGAGCGTTCTATCCATCCATCTACTCGCGTTCCTTCTCCATGTGCTCTCCAATCCATGCCACTTGGCCATGTCGAGCTCGTTGGACGCGCGTTGCTCCAACGCCGGGCTGACGCTTTTTTTTCGCCCCGCAGAAACCAAACATTTCATCTACTTCTACGTCGGATCGCTCGCCATCCTCATCTGGAAATCATAATCGCATCGCTCTCCACGGCGAAGGATCGCGCGCGTAGAAGGGGGGAAGGAAGGCTATGGAGGAACGGAGGGGCGCGAGGAGGAACCGACGTGCGTAAACGCGTCGCCACGCCGTTGTCTCTCTCTCTCCATCTCATCCGATATCCTCCCCATCGACTCTCCCCACCAACCCCCTTCGCCGCACGCACCAACACACTCTGTCCATATACATGTTTTCTTGCCCATTCGTTCTCTGTTCAATAGTATCTCACGTCGCGCGTTTTCGTCTCCTTTCGATGTGCCCCCCCTTCGACCCTCTTCGACCTGCAAGTCTTCATTTCAGCCGCGTGGCAGTCGTGCGTGCCAGGGAGCGCGCGTTGCGCACGACCCGGCCGTGTGTCCCGTGCCCATTCCAGGCTCTATTCCCGATGCGAAATCATATGGGACAGCCAACAGCCTCCCACGGACGGTTTCCGTCCATAAAGTGTAGCGATGGGTTCTATTGATGACATTATCGTACAGTATAGGGCGATGTGCAGTAACAGGTGTTCTCCTTCTAGGGTATGTAAACGATGAATACAAATCAGCAGCGTCCATACATCCACGCAAACGCGATCCGAAACAATCTAGTATGTGAGTATTCAACCGTCCGAGCACAGGCCCGAGTCCGAGTCCAAGGAGAAGGGTCTGCGAAAATCTCTCCGCAACACGCTCAGCCAGCTCACCCACCACGCACCACGACCTCGACCACGGCCCTCCCCACGCAAACGCCCCCGCTCTCCCCCTCGAACATCCCCACGCTCACAACGCCCACGTCTCCAGCCCGCGGCACGCCCCAAAACTTGACCGTATGCTTGTGCTTCTCCGCAGCGACGCCCTTCGGCGCGTCCAGATCGGCGTACAAGAACGCGGGCAGCACCCCGCGCTTCCCGCCCCCGAGGTCCATCCTCCGCGCGACGAGCGTCCCGCCGCGCTGCGCCACCACGCCCGCGGGCGTGAGGTGGACCCGGAACCGGAACCGCTCGCCGACGCGCACGAGCACGCGCAGGACGTCCTCGCCGCCCGGCGCGCTCCCGACGCTCGAGCGCGAGCGCGGGCCGCCGCGGTGGGAGGACTCGAGGGAGGAGAACGAGCCCGAGGGCGAGCGCACGCTCACGCTCAGGCGCGCGGGCTTCCGATCGCGGTCGGCGTCCTTGTCCTCGCCGAGCGCACTGACGTAGCGCATGCCGTCGCTGAAGTCGTCGGGCGCGGGCGCGGCGGGGACGACGGCGGCGGACTGGCTGACGATGCGCTTCCCGCCGCGCCGAGTCGGGGGCCCGACGTCGTCCGCCACGGCGGTAGGCAGCCCGGGTACGGGGACGCGCGCGGCGTGCGTGAACGGGACCAGGCGTGCGGCGTCGTCGGTCGGAGGGTGGGGGTACGATTGCGCGCTGAGGCTCTTCACGCTCGTCGCGCGGGCGGCGCGGTGCACGACCGCCTCGGTGGCGTGCGTGCGCGTCGAGGACGAGTCGGACGCGAGGGAGACGCTGTCCACGTCCGCGTCCATGGACGCTCCGCGCGGGT